TTATTTTCGCTTTGTCTGTATAAAATTAGTCACGCGGATGCGATGGTAGACGGGAAACGGGTTTGATTAATCGTGAGTATAATTCACCGGAAGCGTTGTTTTTCCGATTGGGATCGTTCTGATTACAGCGCGATGGGGATCGGATGTCAACGATCTACGTTTAGCGCACGTGATAAACAGCCTGAACAAACAGCAGTGAAAAGGCCGCGCTTTTAACTCTGGAGCGCAGAAACAAATCTGCGTCTCTTTGTGGACTAACTTGTTTCGCGCGAGCTGTGGCAGAAGCGTTCTCCAAACACGTTCGGGCGCCATTATGCGGCCAAATGGATCGGTATATTTAGTTGACTTTGGCCCGTATTCAGATCTCGCGCTCCCAAGATCTTCAGCAGCTGGTTGTCGTTGATGTACATATGGCTTCTCAGATTTACGCTGGGACATTTAGTATGTGCTCGCTAATTGTCACGGTCGCGACTGTATATTTCTTCAGACTCACCAATTGTAACATTAGCAGACATTACGTCGTTGTTTCTGCAATCTTTGATCGTTGCCCAACATAGAGTGCTTTCCGTTTGGTGACACAAGTCGACACAAGCATCATTCTACCTTTCGTGATATTCAGTGAGTAACAAAGATAGAACGATCGACACTTGTGCCGACTTGTGTTACTAAATGGGAAGCACTTATAGATGTGAGTTGAAAAAGAAAATAACCGTGAGAGTGATTTTAAAATGCTAGAGATAAATAAGGCTTGAAGACCATATCGGCAAGATCGTCAAAATACGTCATGCCTCAATTATACTCGTACAAAACAGTATGCTCTTACAGAAATTTCTGCGTCTGACGGATATCAGTTGGTATCGGAGACAAACAATTTGCTTATCTTATCGCCGTCGACAGGCGGTACAGTCTCGAACTAGCGCATGATGCGGTGATGATGCGAATGTGGCGAGTCTCTCACGGGGAGGCAAAGCGAGAGATACGCGTGGACGCTCAAATGAGGAGACGACTGTACGTGTCTCTCATCTCGTTGTGCCCCCTCTGTCTCGTTTCCGCCGCCGTCGCCACCACCACCACTCGTACTCGGCCGCGCGTTCCTGTTATCTCGCTTCGACTTCCCTCGCTTCCCCGCCGCCTCGTCCCCTCCCCCGCATGCCGTGCCAACCAACGAGTCGGGGCCGCTTTCGCTTTGTGCGCGCCGGGGCGGCGGTACATCAAAGCCTTCTAGTTCCCGCTCCGGCCTTTGACGGTCGCGTCGCGGCCGCTCGCTCAGTCATCGCTCGGTTGTAGGCGATGTCGGCGCGGCGCGGCGCGGCGCGCCGTAGATGAGCGGATCGCGCGCTCGCGCGCGCGCGCGCGCTCTCGCACGATGAGCGCGGGCTCTCATCAGAGATCAGCCGCGAGTTCGCCATTCACCACGTCCGTCGAGTGGATAGTCCGGATACAACGCGGTACAACGGCGAGTCGGCGATTTTCATTTCGACGCTCACAAAACGCGTATGTATTCGTGTGACTTCGGGGTGACCGCGAATGCGTTTGGATCGTGCGATGCCGTCTCGCGGCGGCAAGTACGCGCGTGTCAGCAAAGTGGCCACCAAGGGGCGCCAAGTGCGCGCTCAGCAACACGTCTCTCTGGAAAATCGAGTTCTTGTAGAAACCGAGGGTACAAGTATGGCAATGGCGACGTCGACAACGATGTTGACGGAGATGACGACAACGACAACGATGACAACGGCAATATTTACGGCGACAACGTCGACGGTGACGTCAAGCGGAATGGTAGTCGCGACAACGAGAATGGACAAGCCCGCGGTAACAACGGCGTGCAACGAGGGTCGATCGCTGTGGACCGGGCGCATGCGCCAGTCCCTGGAGAGCAGCTCCGAGCCAGCCCGTGAAAACTGTACCCCCTCGGTGCATCGTTATCCGGAAAGGCAACGACGACGGAAGAGACACGCCGCGGGGAGGAAGCATCGACCATCAGGGAGAGATACCGAGAAAGCCACCGCCGGCACCTCATGCTCCTCGACATCGTTGTCGTCGCCGCCGGCGCTTTCCTCGCCGTCTTCTTGCGCGTCCTCGCGCCGTTCGAGCTCCCCACTGTCAAGCACCTCGTCACCAGCGCGCTCCTCCACCTCGTCGTCGGTCACGAGCGATCCGCTAGCGATCAAGCCTGCGGCTAGAAGCGAACAAAAAAGAGAAGGCAGCACTCCCGATCATAGCGACGACGGGATTGAGAAGCGGAGGCAAAACGTTGCGGAGACAAGACGAGACAACTCACAAGGTGAGACGACTCATGGAACGATTACGGAGACGACGACGTCGGTGTCGACCTCCTCTTCTTCGACCACTGTGTCTTCCTCGTCGTCATTTCCATCCCCCGTGTCCACGTCCTCGACGTCTTGCCGGACGGCGACGACACCGCGCAGCCACGGTGGCGATCACGGTGGTGTTGCACACGTCTCGTCCTCTTCGTCCGCGCTTGAAAGACTGAGAAGTGCCCTGGAGAATTACGACCGTAGTCGAATCTACCTCGCCCACGTTTGCTACTTGGATTGGCGGGATCTGCCGGGTAAACGGCGTGGCGGCACCGTCGGAGGTCACGACGCGACGCGGAGTAGCGAACGGGTGTGGGTGGTGGGGGCGGCGGATCACGAGGGCCACCATCGGACACGATTGTTGGTGGCCGGCCGCCACTGGCGACCACGTTGTCTACGCAAGGTCAACATGTTGAGCCAACCAGTGGTGTATGCCGGCGGTGGCAGGGGTTCCTTAACTTCCGATCTATTCCTATGGTGGTTCCACCGTGAATTTGCTGTCACGGCGATGGCGATGCATCCTGACGGAGCCGTGCTGGTAGCGGAAAGTGCCGATTACTTGCCACCAGAAGGTGACTGCGTCGCCGCGGACGGTCTTGTACGGCTGTTTATTGTACCGAAGGATTGTATGGAAACGCGACTGGTGGTCCGAGAATTGAGAGTGCGTCTGGCTACCGGTATATTATCGAGAGCACGCTGTGGCGTTTACTGCGACAAATATCCCTCAATTTTGGGTTTGCCCGAGGAAGAGGGCGATAACCGATTGGACGCGTATCTAAAAAAATTCACACTGAAAGAAGCATTCGCGGATTTTCATCGCGCATGGCTCAGTGTTCGATCGGAGACGTTCGCTCGCAGCTGGACGCTGCCACGCGATCGCGAGGATCATCCGCTGGCGGGATGTAATGGCGCCATATTGCCGCCTAGAATCCATCCGGTGGAACAAGAGGAGGATAGAATGCTACTTGTCGAACTGCAGAGTCTCGCCAGGGAGATCGGACTGGAGGTCACCGATGACGAACTCGGCAGTTGGATCCTTGACGAAGAGAGCGCGCTGACGCGTCTTGTTAGAAAAAAAGAACCAGACGAGGAACAACACTGCCGAGTTAAAATCGAGGTAGAGACGGATAGATGGTCGGAGCGCAATGGGGACGAGGAAGAAGATGGGAATGACGGCATTGAAGAAGATGACGGCGAGGATGAACCTACCGCCGAGGAGGCTGTTGGACTTCTCTCAAGAGTGTTGCTCTGGATGGAAAGAGAACCTCTCGATCCGGGACTTCTACTGACGGTCAGATCGATGCGCGATACCGTCGCACTTATGGTAAGCACCGCGGCTGATAAGAGACAACCTCTCGAGAGCCTTTATATCGATTGCCCGCGAAAAAGAGAAACGAATGAAGGAGAATGAAAAGAGACGGCAAAGAGCAGGGAATCGTGCGCGATCTTGCGAATTTATGAGCAGATTGAGCCAATTTTATCGACTGTCACTTGACAAAAAGCGACCAGAGGGTAAGGGAGGTTGAACAAGTGGTGGGTGGGTTGGTTACGCTGCTGTCCTCAAGGAGGACACTCGATTTTGACAATACGTCGCCGACGTTTCGTTCGAGGCGAACGGACGGAATGATTAAACGAACCCTCGAGAAGTACATTCCTCCCTTCGCAATTCCGTACACGATCTTTGCAAATTAACGCTCGAGCTGTTTCTCGATAAGCACTCTTCGATAAGCTCCCTTTTGGAGCGAATCGAATTGGATATCGTGTTTCTTTCGTACGAGAATGAACTGTAAATCCTTAGCGGTGTATCCTTGCACCTTTTACGTCGTTGACGTTATCGCCTGAACGCACTCTTGCGATTCTCATTCAAACGTATTATGTACACTGTATCACGCGTGCGTGATGAAACAAGTACCGTAAGCATATAAAGATAAGACAATTTGTATCATTATGATAAGAGCTAACGATGCTTGCAGCAATACCTGCATATGGAGCTTATTATTTTATTTATATTTACACACACACACACACACACACACACTGTGAACGTAATATTTTATTAACATAATAAATATCAAGAAATCAAAGATTTTAGATAACTTATTTTAATTTTTATGTTTTATGCTGATTCTATAATTAATCGGTAATCTATAGTCTTAGAATGCTGACCAACTCTACTGATTCGTCGATTTCGACCAATCATGATCTTTCCGATTATTCTTCAGACTCATTTCTGATTCACCGATTACAGACTATCGACTCATTGTAGAATCAGCATATAATGTAATATCGATATTTAATCTACACTTTTGTATTGAAGTATATACTGCAGTAACAGCTCTAAATATCTTTTTTTGACGTGATTGACGAGCGAAATTATAGATTAGGGGAGGGCATATCAGTCCTTATATGTCTAAACCTAGTCAAAAAGCCCCCTAGATCTAAAGGGTTCCTCTGCGATTCTCATTAAGTACGGAGTATCAAATTTTTCCGTATACATATGGGATGCGAATTTGAACTCACAATCTGTCGATTACGTCGTTCTCATGCGGACACTCATACGACATTCCAAAAAATTACAGAATAACATTGATCACTCTCGCACTAAGATTTTGATATATTATATTTGGATCGACGTATTGTCAAGGAAAACGATATGATAGTTATATATTAAATTTTCTTTTACAGGCGAGTAAGATGGGTCTGGCGGGGACGCATCCAAGCGGGTTACCCTTTTTCTGTCCGAATGGAGACCACCTGACCCAACCACCTCCCGCCCATATGGGTATACCGCCCTACGGCGCATTGGACGCGGGTAAGGCGGCCGCCGCGGCTGGTAAGTACTTTTCGCTATCAGCTGTTTATTAGAAATAACTGTCCCTATTAATGTGCTTTTAATTCCAACTTACTCCTTACTGAATTAATTATTAAATTTTGTAGCTTTTTAATTTTGAAATTATATAATACTTGAAATCTACTTAAAATCTACTTGAATCAATATCGGTTTTTCAACTTTTTTTTCTTATCATATTTTTTTAATTTAAAGATGTTAATATCTTTATTAAAGAGTGTGCCCCTCCAAGAGACGATGGCTTTATTAATGTGTTCCCTATTTCTATTGTGTTGCCTATTTGCATTTGACTCGTTTTACTATACAATTACTAAAATAGATAATAGATATAAGCTAATCGGTTTAATTAGTATTGCACATAAATTATTATTTTAATTAGACTTACAATTTCAATGTACACTCATGACACAACGCTCTTTGCTCCAATATAGGACACATTAATAGGGGCGAGTTTAAAATTTTTTTTGCTGGACTCAAGGAAATTCTTCTAAACTATGATATGTATCTTTCGAAAAATATTTACTATAGGTATTCTAATAGTTAAAAAGTGAAATATTATCTTTGAAATATTATCGTATACATTAATAATTTAACTTAATAAAAACAAATTTTTTCTTATTTATTTATGCTAGTTTTCTTTATGGCTTATTTAAATACAAAACACTAATAGGGACAGACATAGTAATAAGGTTATCCTATCAGTCATTTACATAGTCCTAGAAACATTTTCTTGAAAGAAAAAGATAGAATAATCTTCATGGATCAACTTCTTTTTTTCGTTTGACTTTACTAATAATCGCTTTTGTTCGAATTAAGTTGAACGATTTTGCAAAAATTGTTGCAATTTAATGTGTTTGATAATCAAAATCTTTGTGACACGTTGTAATTTTCACATATAATTGAATACACAATTACAAATTTTAAAAAGCGTGCTTTCTCGTTGATAAGTTAATAAATTATTGATATTTGATATTTAGTCTTTGCAAAGTTATAAACTATAACTTATATACTCGGCACGTTTGTTATATTTTACGAATTTAATAAAATTTGCACATATAGAGAAACATTTAGTCTTAGTTAAAGATGAAATGGAAATCATTCTTAATCTCTATCTTCGCTGACACACTGAGTGGCTCACATTCAGCAATGTTTAAACAACTGGCATTCTTATTTAAAAAGTCTAATCAATATGAAAAAAATTATGGATCAATTTCAAGATCTATAGAATAAATTCAAATAGTTTTTGATTGAAATTTCATTACAGTTTTTGTGAAAAAAATTCTTAAGTTTGATGAATAGAGAAAAAACGAGTAAAATATTTGAAAAATTGTAACTTTTAAAAAATTCAATATTAACAATTAAAAGTTTACAGAATTGTTGTTTAGATATAATACTTTGAAAAAAAATTAGTTTGTAAGTTGGTTTTGGATAAAGGGTATTTATTTTGCATATTGAATGTAGGCTATTTTGAATTGAAAAAAACAGAGATTTTTTTATAAACATATTGTATTTCTCTTCTACAAAATAAAAGAAAATTGAGTTTCTGAAAGTTAAAATAATTTTGTGGGTGGTTCACACTCCGTATCAACGAAGGGTTAAATCCCTTATATTTTTTAAAATAAAATTAAGTTTTACTTGGTTTTATTTTATTTGAATCAGAGTTGATAAAAATCATGTTATAGACATATTAAAAATATATTAAATTAATATTTTAAACATGTTTCAAGCATGTTTTTTAAAATACTATTTAAAACATGCTCAAAACATTAAAATGTTTAAAAAAACTACAATGCTTTGTTTTAAAAAAATATAACATTTGCCAACCCTGACTTGAATGTATGTAATCATGCATGTGTATATACGAGAGCTATAAATTTACAAACTGAATTATTGATACATATTGTGTTACTGGAATATTTAACTATCTCGAAATGATTAATTTTTGTCATTAATATTGATTTGTTAAAACCAAGTAAGAATTTATAAAACTTGTTATAATCATTATATTATAGTACCATAAAATATGCGAGGTAGCACTTTCACGGAAGTAACGTATTGATATTGACGGACAAAGATTACAAATTTATATATTTTTAAACGATATACATCAATCGCGTTTACATATCGTTTCGCAATATATCTTGATCACAAATATACAGCCATTAATAATATAAAATCTCACTCCACGTTTTCAACATGAACTTTCAACTACTGACAATACGCTCATAGTCTCGATATCCTCAATATACGTATCGTTGAATCAACAATTCTTTCACGAAGTTAATCCGCTATTGTCCGGCCAAATATTGACGTTCCTCTCGAATTGTAATTGATGGAATACTTCTCGTCCCCGCTCGCGTAATCGACACGCTCCGCCCCGTCGAGAGAGCTTTATATATAATTTTATTGTATCGAGCTACGCAAATATTAACATGGCCGTTACAATCCGACCCAAGCGAGTCCAGCTTGTGTCTGGCCTTTGCGCAAACCGTTTGCAACCACGTTAACACACGTTAATCTTCGTTATAGCGATTTGGTAGACGAAATACCGAATTACGTGTAATATAAATAAATCTGCAGTGAGCATAGCAGTTCGTATTGGCGTAATAGCATTGATATCAAGTTTTTAAATCTCTGAATACAGACATTGCACGTTGTACATGAAAATGTCTTTATTGTCAAGTACGTTTGATTCTCTCTTAAGCTAATCGCGAGCGTATTTTCGATGCTCTTGAATTGAGTCGAACTGAAAAGTCTGCATTGATAACTTCGGTGTCTAATTGAAGGAATATTTCTTATCAAGTCAAGAGGCACGGTGATGTCGAGATTTAAATAGAGGTTGTGAAGAGGGCAGCATAATCTCTAAAGAGAACTCTGAGAGAGACAGAGAGAGAGAGAGAGAGAGAGAGAGAGAGAAGCAGCAAATTGGCATCAAGTATGAACGGAAAGGGGAGAGCTCACTCCATTAGGCTAATTAGCAAGTATGTAGCTTTCCTCTGGGTCAAGGTAGTTTCTATTTCCACCTATTCAGTTTCGATAGATTCCGCTCTTATTCTATTCTTGGAACGCTTTCCTCTTCTATCAACTTCACATTATTATGGTTTTATTGTTGATACATCACCAACTTAGCTCTTAGATGCAACCTTGAAAAGTTTCGAAGTAGCGTCATCGCTGAAAGAACTTTAAATATTGCTTCTGCTAACTTATCTTAGGACAGTTTTCATCACTTGACTCTTTCTCAATATATTTTTTGTCAAGAAACTTAAAGAGTTTTCTTATCATTTTATCTATAAACAAGTACAAGTAAGATATTATTTACCCCCCCTAAATTCTGAAATATGTGGATGATGTTGATAGTATTTATGCATGCACGGCGGTTCTGATTCTTTGTCTTGCAAACAAGGGAGGAGCATTCCATCTTTACTCTTCGCGAAGTAAACTGTGGCTCGACCTCATCCTGTCTCATGCCCCTTCCTTTGTTGTTCCAGAATGACAATTTCTCCACTCTTAACTTCTCCGAATCCACCACCTATTCGCCCAATCTTTCCCCTGTTACTAAGCAATTGAATATCGCGATAAAAAAATGTTCTTTCCTCCCGTTCACTCTATATTCCGCACTTCTGCTCTGTACTCTATCTTCTCCGTGTCCACTTTCTAATATCTCTATGCCCTTTTCTGCTTCCCCTCTCCCTCTTCATTTTCCTTTCCTTTATTTTTGATTTGTGATTCTACGATTTACTTTCTCGCTTGCATGGATGTACATGTATTTTTAATTAGTAGCTTTATTTTTCGATCTCTGTTGCGCGTGTTTATTTAAAAACTCCATGGTAAAGAACAAGCAAAAGAGATAGCGAATGGAAAAAGAAAGGGAAGTGGTAACGCAAATGAAAAAAACAGGAGGGAATGAAACGTAAAAAGGGTGGAGACACGGCCACCAATAACAATCCTGAAGTTCTGTTTCAACAGGGCTTCGCCATTGATCCGCTTAACTTCTCTCTTTCTCTTTTCTCCGTCATATTTTCTTTTCCTTATTTTCTCCTTTCTTTATATTTTTCTATTTATTATTATACTGTTGTCTATACCCTTTTTTTCCTTTTTTTTTTCTTATATTTATTTTTCGCTTCTTTATGTTAAAATCTTTAATTATTTCCTAGTTTTGGAAAATGATCAACTCTAATTTGTTGCTAATTTTTTTTTTAAATTTTTTCGACTAATTTCGATTTATGCTGTTGTCTTTTGTTTCATCAATACTGGAAAAAGTGTTATTTCTCGCAGTTTGTAATTAACGGTAGCAATTTATAATTAACAACGATCCTGTATTTTGCAATTCGAGTATGCAGAGTAAAGTTCGCTAATAACCTTAATAAGTTAATAATTAAAACCGTGTTTTATAAAAGTGACTCGGATAAAAGCTTGATTGATTATTTAATTAAGATTTAATTAACGTTGATATCGAATAGTATTAATTTGTTTTGAGTAAAATCAATATCATGAAGAAGGATTTAGATTTAGATATGTACCGGTCTTAAGGTAAATAATCGTAATCACAAATATTATTTTGTATTGTCTGCACTTTTACTTTCTTATTAAATCTCTGTTGTCGATAATGCGCATTTTATTTTCATTGTTGACTGTTACAATTTTTTGGCTTTCATAATCCTTTATTTTATTTTTCTTACCTTCAAGAACAACAATGGTAATTACACATTTAAGATTTTAATAAATTATGTTCTCTGCTTCTTTCGCAACGAGTTCTAAAATTCTCGATTCATTTAAAGAAAAATTCTGGCGATTAAATGCAAGAAATAGATTTCCCAAGATATGCAATGTTAATTTCATGATATTGTTCTGCAAAAACAATTTTTTAAATTTTAATTAAGATTGACTAAATCCTTTATATAAAACTTTAAATACGCTCTCTTATCTCGATAATATCTCAATATAATTCAATAAAATTGTTTGTAAAAATTATGACTGCGTATTTCTTATTTTTTATAATTTTATCAATTTCATCAAATTTTTATTGTAATTGATATGTTACCACCTTTTAAAAATTAAAAGAAATAAAATAAATAAAATATTAATAAAAATTGGATAATTATATTTATTAGTAGATAAAATTTCTCAAAGAAAAAAAGATAATTTCTGCTGTGTTTCTTTTTAGGCTGCTTTACCGCTTCCACTCTTATTTCCATTGCATTCATTTAGTTTCCGAACCTGTACTACCGGTTTCCCGAAGCCGGATGGATAAAATTCACGACGATAAGGTTTAATAGAGCGAAATAGACGAATTCGCGGGGTTGGGCGAAGCTATGAGAAACGGTTGGAAAAAAGAACTCTCGAGCACCGGCCGAGTTAAAATCGACTTGGATGGAAGCAGGAAAAGAGTAAGGCGAGCAAATGGAAGAAGGAAAGAAAGAAAAAGAGAATATCGCGGTACACGGAACATCGGGAACCTGAGTTGTTCGAGAATAAAAGAGTAATTTTCCGGATGGTGAGATGCCGATAATGGGGTTGCAGACTGCCGAGTCAACTGGAAAGTGATTAAGCACACATGACGAAATCCACGGACTCGTCAGGATATTACGAGGCACCCCTTTCCGCTACCTTTCCATTTCTTCGCTCTCTGTCGTTCGCATCTTCTTGATCCTTCGTTGTCTCTTCTTTCTGTTTCTCCTATATTTTTCATTCTCTCTTTCTACTCTTTTTGTTATACTTATACTCCCAATTTTCGGTACTCTCTCTCTCTGGCATCATATTAGACGAATAGGGCTTTCGTGTTCTAACGAATATGCATTTCGATCTAACCAGCATTGAACAGACTCGCCTTAAGCTTCTTTTTATCATTAACTGAAATTAAGTCATGCTCGCACAATTTTAATCCTACCTGTTCCTAATCGCTTGCTTGGAAGTTTCATTGAATACGAAGAAATTGTATTTTTTTCATTTTGTCTTCTTATTCTGCGTTATCATCATAGATGCGATATTAAGTCTTTTTATAAAAGAAGTTGAAATCAAAAAGTAAATAACATAAACTATTGTAAAACGTGTAACATAAAAAAAATTGGAATGTTCACATACACATAATGTGTAATTTATTTCATGATTTCTACATAAAGCGACATATAGACGGATATATCGTGTTGCACGCGACACATAAATTCGTGTGCGCAAGATAAAATATCGGATTATTACTTTTACGTGGGATTAAATTTCGTTTCGGCAGCCATTGTTTTCACGGGCTCGAGTGTGCTTCGTTATTCAAATGAGATTAAAAGCCCGGGGCTGAGTGGGAGCCCGGTCTCGTTACAGTCGAGTGGCTAATCGTCGTTATGCGAAGATCGAAAGTAGCTCCATTGCACAAAAAAGCTCCAGCATCCGCGAGTTTTACATACGTCGTCGAATCGTTTTATCTTTTTCTGTCGGTATTACAAATAAGATCGTAAAATAAAACTAATATATTAGTTTCTCAAAAGCGATAACAAATCTGATTGCAAAAAAAAAAAGATAATAAAAAAGAGAAATAGAATCGTTTGACTAATCTGATTATTTAAAAAGAAATATACATTTGTGACAAAGCACTATTTTTCGCTATTTAAGAGAATCAACCTATATACGCAAAGTGACAATAGAAATAAAATATAGAACACGGCCATGATTATTCAAAATCACAATTGTTTTCGCGAAATGTAACCGCGCTTCGTTATTTCAACGCAAACGGGAGACGGAAGTCCGATCTCTTTACGGTCGATCAGTCGACAGTCATTATAGAGTTGGGGATTGAGAGTGGCCCTATCCGGAGAAAACCACGCGTTGACCGATTTCAGCACGCGCGAGGGGATGAGAGAGAAGAGCCAGATTGTCACGGGGAATATGCCTTCGGGACATGATCGCCCGCAAAACGCAAAAAGGAACGGGGTGGAAACAGACTGGAGAGTCCATCCAATCCGTTCGCGTATACTATACTCGCCGAATGACATAGAAAGAGAAAAAGGGAATGGCGATGAGAGAAGGGAGAGAGAGAGAGATAGAGGGGGGGGGAGGAGAGGAGAGAGACGTATTGGCCTCGTCAAGCGGTTTCAGGCTTGCCGATATTCCGGGCGCTTCTCGTCGACCCTTATGAAGCCAATTACACTTCGCCTCGCCAAAGGCACCCCACTTATATCCGCGCCCAACATTTCCCGAGTTCTCTTGAAGCCGTGATCGGTTCCGCGGCACGTACTAGTTACATTAGATACCAATGTAAAAGCGATATACCTTGTCCGTTATTCAACCTGTGATGGCTATGTACATCTAATTTTACAATTACATTTGTTATCCGAGTAAACTTTAAATCTATCTTTGATTTCAGATACGTGCTTTTGCTAAAATTGCAAGATTTCATGAGTTTTAACAGGAAAACTGTTCAAATAATTAAAGTATTAAACGTTTTATTATAAAGTATCAGTAATTAAAAATTTGTGGATTATCTTATTTTTAACAAGAAATAGAATTATTTAGCAATATCATTTATGTCTGTTTCTATCAATGTAAATTAACTTTATAAATAAATTAAGTTATCTTGTAGGACTCTTACATAAAGTAATACTCAAAATGGCAGTAAGAGTCAAACGCAGATAAAGGTGCGTAAATATAAATATGTAATCGGTTCGTTAAAATCTCTCAGACGTTTGGATTCCAATTTCATTAGGCCATCTTTATAAGTATAAAAAAAAATTGTGATACAAACTTCTTACGAGCTTCCCTCACAAGATAGCCGTAAATCGATCACTTATGTAAGAACATCTCCCGATGTTCAATCACGTATATCATGTATGACTGTGACAGAGAAAGTTAACTTTAATCTCGGGGCTCTATTTACTCATCTTTTTGAAATAGTTCTAAGAAATAGAAGAGTAAATTGAACTGAGATTAAAATTAATTTACATTAGTAGAACCGGGCGTTAATTTTTTGTGTTAAGAAACAATCAGATAAGCTTTTTCAACAAATTTTTGACGAACTGTTCCATATATCTCATACTCAATGTAACGTGGACTTGATCGATCGCAATTATTCAAAAACGGTATTGATATCGATATCGTTCATCGGTCTGGGATGAATTATACGGCATTAAATTTCAACAACGACTATTCTCTGGACGACGATCCCGATGGCGTGTGCATTCCCACTTCGTGTTGGGTGCTAGTTACAGAGGGTGCGGCCGTGCATGCTGATCAATGCTCGTTCTCGCCACGAAAGAGAGAAAGCTCGACCTCTGTCGCTTCGTATGTTTATATTACAAACCTACGATATTAAAAGGATAGTTTTCTTTCGTTCAATTTCTTTGATCCCATCGTGATAGTATTTACTCCGTGTAATTATTAACATGCGAATCGAAGCTCTCATCGTATGCGTTTTGTGATATCCAAAATTACAAATTTTTAACATCCATAATACAATAATAACATTAATAGCTTATAATATTATGAAAAAAATCGTTATTCTACATTTTGGAATAATTGTACGTATATTATTCATATTTAATTTTACTTTTGATAATGAGAGATAAATGAAACTTTCAGCTTTTATAAATAGAATATAAATACATAAAATTTTTAATAGATTAGAAATTTAAAAAATTGCATTTAGAAAAATGCATCTGCAATAAAATTCGCTTGTGTTTGTCGCGACTGTCCAAATATAGGAATTTCCGTGCATACATTTGTTACCGGTTCGATCTTTCGTGATCTCACCGCGATTAAATTGAACGTCATCACTTAGTGACCGTAAAATTAGTCACGCTGCCAGCTAATGATAGATTAAACGCGTTATGACGCTGTTAATCATGGATATATGAGATGCACCCGTGATTAATGGCAGATTTATTTTGTGTTCTAACGTTCGATACATTAATTCACGAAAACTTCAATCTTGATTATCAAACAAATAGAAAATACAAGAATGAAAGGTGAAGATGAAAAAAGTTATAAGGATAAAAAATGAATTATATTTGATGATCCTACATACTCTTTAAATTTCTTGAAGTAAAATTTCATTCCAAGAGTTAAAATACTGTTACTGTTGAAAAAGAGTGAAAAATTTGCACTCTTGAATAAGATTTTTAGTCTTTTTTTTTTTTGAGTGAGATACATTCCAAAGGGAAGAAATCTCATTCCTTTTTTAAGTGAATCTCTCTCTCTCTCTTCTAAAAATGTAAAATCTCACTCCAAGAAAAGAGTGAAAATCTGCAACTCCTAAGTTAATTTAATTTAAGAGTGCAAATTTTGTGGTCAGTATCTTAACTCTTTTGTGGAGTGAAATTTCACTCCAAGAAATTTAGCCAGATGGAGAAAAAATGATATATGATTAGAAATATGTAGAGATAAATGGAAAGAATTTTTATTGTGTTATTGAATTTTGATATTGAATTTAAAAAAAATGGTATTTCGATGAATTCATTATTTTGTTGTAGGTCTTACGAGAGCACCAATGTACCCCTTCTCAACGGGTCAATACCCATATCCCATGCTTAGTCCAGAAATGACGCAAGTCGCGTCCTGGTAAGTAGAAACATATTTATTATCATTTAAGAATAGAATTTTACGTCAAATATTGTTTATTTTTTTATATCCATATAAATACATATAGTTTGATAAAAGCTTCAATTTAATGTGCAATACAATTACATCCATGTTATTCTACGATTGGTTGCATTACAATATAACGTAATATTATTTCAATTTTAATCAAACATATATTCAACTGTGTGTTGAGAGCGATATTCAATTTCGCGCTGTAAACGCACGCGTCCATAGAACAAGAATCGTTTTACGTTCTTGTATACGTACATGTACATATGCATGTGTCTGTCTGTCTCTGTGTGTGTGTGTATGTGTGTGTGTGTGTGTTGTGTGTGTGTGTATACATTATATTATATTTTATATTAATTACGCGTTAAATAATCGATTCGTGTTTCACAGTAACGCAAATGAAAAGTAATGGAGAGCATCGGATTTCGATCGCGCGCCGAAGCGATTCTTGGCGATTTAAAATCTCGACATTCAACGCAGATCGTATATCGCGAATTGTGCACAAAGGCTACTAAATATTCATAAAAATATTCAGCAAAATACAAGGAAAACGTTATATGACGAGCCTTCTCAATAAATTTTTCGCTTTAAAGTAAATTCTTTTTTAATGTAAAGTGTGCGAATTTGCATGATAAACGTCGTTATCATCAATGGTGGTTTCTATGGTTCAAAATATATCCACTGATCTTGTTAATTTCCTCTCGTTAGTAACGATTGTCGGAGTTTCGCGATATTTAAAGCCTTTAACTTTTTATTAACAATTTCTTCTTCTATTGCGATATTTCTCACAATGTCTCTCTCTCTCTTTCTCTCTCTCTCTCTCTCAATATATTATAAGATTATCTATCTTTAAAATAAAACACGATGTGTTCACATTCCGGTTTAGTTTTCTGACAAATCTGGACATGGGATAAGTGTGGACTGCTGGTCAGTCGTCCTCAGTTCCGGTCTATTACATCGGATACGGAACTTTGCCTTATCCTTGTGGTCCTCATAGACGTCACCCTCTTTTCGCAAGGAGACAAGTCCTTACGATCAGGTTTTCATTCGAAGCTGCCGTTTCCCTTGCTCGTTATTTGCTTTACGCCCGATTTGTCCCAAATTGCGATTTTCCACGGATGATTAGGTTTCTTCTTCTCAATTAGAAGGACCCACAATATCCTTATTCGATCGACAATCTAGCGCGCGGAAAACTGTTTGGACGTCGACATCACAGCGTGCACAGAATTTAACTCACGCGGTTTTCAAGGGGTGGCGCCCATCCTTGAAAAGAGAAGAGTGTGAGAGGAGGCCACTTGCAATAATGAGAAAGTCGGCAGCGTTTTTATTACGCGAAGTGCATGGATCTGGTCTCTGTGTTCTTGACAACTTGGAAATGCGAACCAGGAGACACAAACTAATTACTTTTACGAGAAACAGTTTGTTAATTCTAATTAATTAACTATATTGTTGGTCGCGCGATGTGCTATACAAATATTATTATAATATACTTTACTCAATGAATTAATTGTGATATCGTATCTTTGCGATATCACAAAATTATACTTTTTGTATAAGAATAAAGTTATTATCAACGACTAGTCAGTTTAATTAGGAAAATAATTCAAATTTAAAGATACTTAAGTTACAACTAATTATTTTCATTTTGTTCTTTTCTTTTTTAATTGTTAAAAATTAAATTTTTAAATATTTTGATTTTTTTTCCATTGAATACATAATTTATCAGACTTCAAAATTTAATTTACAATTTACAATTTTAAATAGCAATTCCCGTTATATATAATTTATTCAAAAATTTCATGCCAAATATGGCAAAACGGTCGATGTTATCATGAAACGAGCAGATATATAAATGTATTAATCAATTTCCTAGAGAATTCCCCGCTGGCGTCCAAATTTCGAGGAAATATATCACGGGAATTCTCATCCCGGAGACACATCCGGCAATGATAAAAATTTAATTAAATAAATATTTACAGGCACACACCGAGCATGTATCCCATCTCGCCGGCAAATGCGGGTTTCCGAAGTCCATATCCCACGATACCCATCACAAGTTCTAGTTTACCAAGGTCAGTGAAAAAATATTTGATATCGTTAAAAATCATTTTTCGCCGCGTTTGTTTACTATTATTTAAAATGTAACTTTCGAGATTAAATTGTGCCTTGATTTTTCAGTGATCTCTACCGGTTTTCACCGACGGGCCTTATGCCTCCGCATCCTGGTCTGAGTCCACACGCACATGCGTTAGCGTCACATGCGTTGGTATCCTCAGCACCGAAGGCGGATCACTCCACCTTGGATCACAATCACAGGTTCGTTATGACTCTCAATTTCGTATCGCTGGCGACATCTGAACAGCCAGCAGCAAAGCCAGCATCGATTATTCCCGTTTTATTTCCCGATATTCTTTGTCCTTCCACTCGGCTCGATAAACTTTGCGGGATTTACCACGAAGTTCATCTCAACTGGCGGCATCGTTGTTGATCGCAAAAGTATTGAAATATCTAAAGCAATGACTTACAAGTGATCCAGTTTATATTATCGTTTTAACGATCAATTATTATGATGACTATTATACGTTCGATGTACAAGAAAAAAAGAAAGAGGAAGAGACATGCCGCAAAAAGAGGTGTCATAATCTTTGAAACGATGCGGCATAAACTTTCAAAGACAATTAATGAACTTGCCGACTTGCCGCTCGGAACAGTTTTATCTCTACCGGCGCTTGTAATACCATCGTTGATTAATTACTCTGCAGCGGGATTATAATTAATTTATAATACGTCATCTTTTACTCACACTAATAAACGGCTATACGATGACTAGTCGTCTATGAGTTGATAAATCGAATGATACAGAAAAATTTATATGGGAAAAAAAGTTTTAGTCTTATCCGACGTTAAACAATATTTAAAAAAGATAATCACACATACTTCCATACATGTATTGGAATATATGTATATGAATACAAAAAATGAAATACATCTATCAAGAGCTACTACGTGAAACACAATGTTCTTCATTAAAAAAAACATTCACTCCAAGTATGATCGGATCATCGTGCATTATAAAAACAACTAGAAATATATTATAATACTTATATTATATCAACTCAAATAATCGGCAATTTATCGAGCGATTAAGAAGAACACTGTTGATGAACGAATCAGTGGATAATTGTATCAGTGGATACTGTATTATTAATTGGACGTTATCCATCATCAAGTGGTATTCTGTCACAAAAATATTCTGGACCACCCTGCAGATATTATTCATCAGAAAACATTCGGTAAAATTCTGCGAGAATCTTCCTAACCACCCCATGATTGTGTGCCGATGCAGTCGTATTCCATGAAGCGTAAGCGCTACGTGCTTGGTTGATGCTTTTGCTTGACGATCGATAATAATATCCGAATAGCGCTGACAGCTGCAAGACATGGGTCGGTGTACCAACGCAGCGCGTCTGCTGATAAGGAAGCGTCGTGCCGAGGGTGAGGATAGTTGCGGCGCGAGGATCGTAGGGGGTAGCACGTCTCGACTACCCCGGAATGTTTGGCCGAACCCTTCGTCGCGTGCACTCTTCACTCTTTCACTAGTTGAAAGAGCACGTATAACACTTATCGAATGATTCTCTCTACACAGCGTCTGCGCCTGCTACCCCGACGCTGTCGCCGCCACCGCCGCCAGTTATGTATTGATCATTACCTCTTAAACAGATTTCTAATTTACATTAGTACCCGAGCGATCGCTCGCCCCGTATCCGTGCACATACAAAGACCGCAACGTGCACGCTTTGCGTCTTTTCTCTCTGTGTTTCTCTCTTCCTCCAAATCTCTCTCTCTCTCTCTCCCCCTCCCTCCCCTCCCCTCCCTCCCTTTCTCTCTCGTACTCTCTACATACACATTGCGCGCAAGTGCGAGGCATCATGAAGGACCAGCTGACACATCTTCCTAATCCATCAGCGACGCATCCATAAAGATGGTAGCATCGCATTTTCATATTCTCATAAAATTCGTTACACGTTTACGTTTACATCCACATCAGCCTATTGTTGCTGCATCAGTGATACAAAGAGCCCTTGATTCTCTTTAAAAGAACAAAGGATGCTTTCAATTTCAATCTTGGTGAATAAACCGTGAGAATGCTGTGTTTTACAGAGACTCGTATCTAATTGATTTCATTTGAGAATAGGATTACTCAATCGGTTAGCGTGAGTGCAAAAATTCAAAAAGTTACCGTCGACCGTTCAGTGACTACATACATGGAATCAGACAAAGATGCCTTAATAGGAACGCTGATATCGAGAAGGGACAAAATTTCCTCGGATAGAGCGCAATCATCGCGAGTGATCCATCCTCCTAACTCGCCGTACTGCTGGCAAGTGGTAGCAAGATACCCAGGTTGATCGGTAGTCGACGGCAGCGCCGCGACAATTGATCAGAAAAGGAAGAATCACAGAGGCACGTAGAAGAGGAAGGCCACAGAGAATGCGATATTCGCTGCGTCCCCCCCACCCGCTCCCAGAATTGTAGAACCGGCTGATGGTAGGGTTGTCTCTATCGCCGCGAGAGCCATGAATCGCGATGATGCCACCCATCTCGCGATGCCACCCTCGCGCAACCCCGCGCTACCCGCCCTCCTCCCCCTCGCACGTGGTGATTCCGCTGACGCCAGAAACGAGCGCGTTTGAGACGCGCGACGGAAGGTGGGAGAGAGATACAGGGTACCCGTGTGCGCGAAGGAAAATCCTGGCGTGAGGATACGCGAGGCACGCCGGAGACAAACGGGGAAATCGAGATCAGCGAAGAAGACGAGGAACGTCAACGTGTATCAGGAAAGAGTAGAGTTTTCGTGCGGGCGTTACGCGACAAACGTCACTGGAAATCGAGAGACGAGAGGGTGCGTTTTTGTGATACAACGAAACGAGCGCGCTATAGTCGCCGATGAGATAGACGGGGTGTTTGGTAGGTATATAGAGCCAACCCTCTACTAGCGGCGGGGGGGGGGAGGGGGGGGGGGG